AAGAATGGCTGTGAATGTGGGGGAAAGAACTGGTTGATCCCGTAAGTCCGACTGGGGGAGGATGTAGAATTCCTGCCACCCGTGTGGGAGATCCGCACTGACAGAGGCTCCCGGCTGCATCCCAGCCCCAACCCCGGTGGGCTCTTCGGGGAGAGAACCCGAAGATGGGAAGGAATCCGTCTCTAAGTCATGCGAGGCACTGGCCACCGGGTGCAGCCTCCAGGGCTGTCGCCGCTGGCATTTCCACTCAGTAACTGCGAGGGGACTCGTGGTCCTGTGTGTCGCACCTCTGTAACAAGCGTGTACATGGATCAGTTAATGTCGTAGCCATGTTGCTGCTTCATCCTGGGGTGGGTGAGGGACGTTACGATAGTTCCCACCTGGAGGTGAGCGTGACCTTCGAGTGGGCAAATGCAGAAAACACAGCCACACAGCACGTGGGGTATCACCAGTAACAACTCTTGGCAGTGGGCAGCAGAGAAGTGGCCGCCATTGGACCCCAGGTCTCTGTGGCCGCAATCTCCATCTCTTCCCCGCCAGCCCACTGTTTGTTCTTTCAAGGATATTGCCAATGAGTTTCTTTAAAAATATATTTATTTAGAGAGCAGAGTTAGAGAGACAGAGAGAGGAAGAGAGATTTTCTATCCCCTGGTTCACTCCCCCAAAAGCCACAGTGGCAGAGCTGAGGCCAAGCTGAAATCAGGAACCCCAAATTCCATCCTGGAATCCCAAGTGGGGCAGGGGCCCAAGCACTCAGACCATCTGATGCTGCACTCCCAGGCACATTAGCAGGGAGCTGGATTGGAGACCGAGCAGCTCAAGACTCAAACCGGTGCTTGTATGGAATGCGTCCATTGCAGGCTGTAGTTTAACCCACGGCGCCACCACACCAGAGCCAGCTTGTGTTTTTCGGGAATTCGTAGCACTCGTGTCTGCTCTCCCACCACACATGTGTGCCTTTTCACACACACGTATGTGCTACAACCCTCTTACCCTGAGCCGGGCTTCCAGGCCAGGTGCTCCTGCTCCACCCATGGTCCACCTGGAGGGGCAAATGCCGTTTACATGTTGAGCACCCAGTCCAGTGACACAAAGTAGCTTCTGCTGACATCAGAAGACATGGCAGCCAGGCCTCAACTCCTCCTCCCAGCTCGACCTCAGCAAAGCACCTGACTCACTGTGGCTCAGAGGGCGGGTGGCAGCAGGGCCTACGCTGCTCTTGGCAGCGAACTCTCCTCACTTCTCCTTCCCCTCCTCTGTCCTCCACATGCACACAAGCATGTACATGCAGGGACACGCGTGTGTGCACACATGCACGCATGCAGCAGCACACGTGGCCAGGAGGACAGGTGCTGCCGACACACCTGTCCAGAGACTGAGTGACAGCTTTGGGTGAGCGAAGTCATGAACTTTTCCTTTGTGTCATTCAAGCCCTTCTGGTCTATTATTATTTGTTAAGATTTATTTATTTTTATTTGAAAGGCAGATTTGCAGAGGAAAAGAAAGCGAGAGGAGGAGACATCTTCCACTTGCTGGTTCACGCCCCACGTGGCCTGAGCTGAGCCTATCTGAGTGAAGCCAGGAGCCTGGAGCTTCTTCTAGGTCTCCTGCACCAGTGTAGCAGCCCAAGGTTTTGGGCAATCCTCCATTGCTTTCCCAGGCCGTAAGCAGAGAGCTGGAGGGGAAGCAGGGACTTGAATCAGCACCTACAAAGATGCTGGCATTTGCAGGCAGAGGATTAGCTTGTTATGCCACCACACCAGCAGCCCCCCCCCCACAAACCCTTCTGTTTTTAATTTCTATGGAAGTAAAATTAGGAGTGCATTATATTTCTTCTTCTTTTTAAATCTGAAGTGATGCACAGATAGAGCAAGCCTGGCTATGTGTCCCTTACCACCTTCCCCAGCAGTAACCACTGTCAACTGCCCCTCCTTCCAGCTCTCCTGCTGCACAAGTAGATCCATACTGTCTGGCCCCTATGAGGTGTGTGTGTGTGTGTGTGTGGCAGGGCCATGGGGGATGGATTTTCTGCCACTTTCCTTTTCTGTGCACGTGCATGCTCGGCGATATCAGTGGCCCAAGGAGGTTCCTGACGCCAGCTGGCTTAGCAATGACCTGCTTATTCTGTGTTCTGAGTTTTGGTGATCACTGGCACAGATGCTGCCACAGCAGCCTGGGGTGTGCACCCAGCATCTGCACATCGGCTTTGCTGGAGGCTGCACTTGCCACGCAGCTTCGATGCTGCAACGTGGTGACCCAGTATTCAGGGCCTGTCTTGGTAGTTCCGAGTTGGCCTGGCCTTCCCACAGCCCGGCTCCTACACACAGCCCTTCGACCTCATCTCTGGAGCACCGCAGACAGACGCTGAAGTTCCAGACTCACAGGGCCAGGCCAAGTGTGTGGCTGGGGATGAACCTGCCACCCTTGAGGGCCCCTCTCTCCTTGCACCCCCACCCTGCCCCACCCCTGCCAGCCTAGGAGGCCTGAGCTGGCTCCAGCCACCTTCCTGCTCCCTGCCCTCTGTCCCCATGTGACCCCCACCTCCTGAGGTACACTGGGAGGGACGCATGATACGAACATGAGGCAGTGCAAGGCCTGCTCCAACCAAGTTCATGGTGCTGCTGCTCCCTCCGACCCTGCCTCCCACACACCTGCTCCAGGGTCTCCCCCTCACCCAGCCGCCCACTCAAACAGCCACCATCCTTTAAGGTGTTAGTAGTCACCTCAGTCATTAGCTCTCCACGTGTATTTCAGCTGTCAGCTATGAGACTGACCTTCAACGGAAGGAGCTGCTGTCAGCCAATGCTTTCCCCTCACCCCTGAGACACCAGCAGATCACATTCCCCTACAGCGAATACAAGCATGCTGGTCATGACTCGGTTCTGTGTAGGCAGGTGCTCAGTAAACACTGGTGGGAACAAATGAGTGCAAAACCCTTGGCTGACTCACAGGGATGAGGTCACAGTGACGATGGTGCCAGAGGGTGGGGCTGAGATGCAAGGCAGGTGACCCCACAGAGCACCATGTAGATAAGTACCCAGGCCACAGGCTGAGATCAAGGGCAGGAATCTTCGTCCTACTCCTCTTGGAGAGGAAGCCAGCTGGAAGTCCAGGAGGCCTTCGAGGTGGAGAGATTCCATTTTCTTAGTGCACTCAGGAGTGACCAGGCTCTGGGAGATCAACCAAGCAAGCTACTGATTGATAAGTCAGACCAGCGATTTATTAACTTGTGCCAGCAGCTCTGGCTGCCCAGCAGCCTGGGGTGTTTGAGGAGGCAGCGGTGGAGGGGGTGGGGGGGAGTTCCTGTGCTTTCTGCTGCAGAAGGCACATTTACTGGGAAATCCAAGTCAGCTGCAGAAGGAGCGGTGGAGTGCAGCAACAGTGCCCTTGCTGTATGAGCAGGGGTCCACACAGGGTCAAGCGCTTCGAATTGATGTATGCTCTTGTGAACAAGGCCATTAACAGCCACTGTGGCACTCAGGCGTGGAAGCTTTGTGCCCTCTCTCCCCCCAACTTTGGCTTCTGAAACACTCCCATTCTGCAACCAACCCGTATACACGCACCCCGCATGGTGGCTGCCTCGGTCTTTTTCGCCTCAGTTTTGACCGTGGCTTCCCACTCCCCTTGTGTTAAGACCGCTCGGCTTTTCCCAGGGACCTCCCCACCTAGAGACACCCGAGCCGTGGCAGCAGGGTACCTGTCATGCATCCACAGCCATGGCCACCATTCATCAACGTGCCCCCCAATTGCTAGGTGCCTCCTATGCAGGGCCACTGTTGTGGCATGCGCTCTCCTCACCTCATCCTAGACTCGACCCCCAGGCTCAGAGATGGCAACCACTTTTCCTAGGGTCTCCCCAGCAGGGAAGCAGTAACAGGGGCTGGTCATCAAGTCTGTGTGACCTTCAAGCACATGCTGCTGACACCCTCCGCTTCCCAGGTGCTGGAGTGGAGCCCTGCAGAAGCTTCTGGGGGCAGTGGTGCTGAGGGCAAGATTCTCCCAGGATTCCATGGAGGCTGTGTCTACTGCAACTGAAGCACACACAGTCTGGGTCCTGGGACTCAAGTGGGGTGAGGAGGGGAGGAAGCTGGACCTGCACCCAGCACCACTGATGTCATGTCGTCCTGCCTCCCGGGGCCCCAGGGATCCTATGGGTCTCCTTAGTTGAGTAAACTCCTGCTCATCTTTCAAGCCCCAGGGAAAATGTCACCTGTCCTGGGACACCTTCTTCCCACGCCCTCCACAGCCCTTGTGATGGCATGAGGCCAGCTCTCAGGCACTTGATGATGCCCGTCTTCCATCCACCCTTGCCATCAAGCCATGAGCAGAACAGAGCTGGGCTTGGCTTGGCGGCCCTCCTCCCCGGCAAGTCCCCGGCCCGCAGCTCATGCCCCATACAGGGTTGCTGTATCATGACCGAGTTCCAGGAGCCCGAACCTACATCTTCCTCACGCAAGTGACGAAGGAGCTGGCCACAGCCCAGTTCACAAGAATGTGAGGCTGTTGAAAGAACTCTGATCCTGTGTGGACCAGTGGTTCATGACCTGGGACATACAGGCCAACTTCCTGGCCCCTCTCCCTGGGGAAGCAGACTGCGTGTCTAGAAACGTCCTGTGTTGCCTCAGCAGGGTTCTGCTCTCTTAGAACACAAACTTCCGGGGGCCAGGGAGGGCAGGAGGAGTCAGGGTCACTGTGGGCGGTAGGAAGGCCAGGTGATGGGGGAGTGTTTGGCAGGGAGGAGCTGTTTTCAGTCAGTTAGGCCAGGCAGCGGAACAAAATGCTTGAGCTGGGATGCTCAGGTTTTCCCAGCTTGGCACCTAGCAGATGTTCAGTAAATAGCAGTTGAATACAACTAGCAGTGGGAGGCATTGCGAAGGTCCCAGGCCCATCACGGGAGTGGGGTGCTGAGCAGCCAAGCAGCAGATAAAGGGACTAAAGGGAGCAATGGCCCCGGGTGGGGCAGCTGGGTGGTGACTTTTCCTTCTCTTCCTTGTCCCCAGTTCCTGGCGTTCGACACCCAGTTGCTGATGGGCAACCGCCGCCACTCGCTGAGCCCCGAAGAGTACATTTTTGGAGCCCTCAACATCTACCTGGACATCATCTACATCTTCACCTTCTTCCTGCAGCTGTTTGGCACCAACCGGGACTGAGGAGCCCCGCCTGCACCCCACCCCTGCCTCCTGCCAGAGAATGCGCCTTGCTGGTCCCCTGCCCCTCCCCGTGCTCCCGCAAGACCAGACATAAAACTAGCTGCCTGCCAGCCCCTGGCCAGCCCGCTCACTGCCCCCACCCAGCCGCCGCATGCGCACTCACCACCAGGGACCTCTTCCAGCCTGGAAGGTCCCTCTGAACCTGGGGACCCAGGACACGGGTGGGTGGGAGGAGCCTGGCAGGATTTCCCGGCTGGCTGAGGCCGGATGGCCAGCGTTCTTCCTGGAGCTGCCACAGTGGCGTGACCCTGGGGCTAGCCTGTTCCTCCCCTCCTGGGGCCTAGGGTGGCAACTGGGGACGAGCAGGAAGCTGGTACCTCTGCCATTGGCCTTGGTTTACTGTTCTGGTAGAGGTGGCGGCTGGGGCAGGAAAAAGGGCTTCTCCCAAGGGTGGGCCTGTCCCGGGCCCCCTGGGAAGGAGGCAGCAGCGGGGCAACGAGTCCTGTGTCCACAGGGGAGGTGCTGGGGCTGCAGGACCACGACCTACACCCCCTCCACCCTGTCAGCACCCAGCAGCTCCCATGGGCCCTCAGGCTGGAGGCTCCAGAGGCAAGAGGCTATGGTTTGGTTATAGCGGCTAGGTCTCCTCCCCTGCCCCCAGGTCCCTCTGCATCTCCTATTTTCTGGGCCCTGCCCCTGCTGCTGCCCTAGCCAGCCTCTGCCCAGCCGCCCCTCACCATCCCCACACACAGGCTTTCGTAGCATTAGTATGCCCCGTCCCTTCCCCGCGGCCCACAGCCCAAGCTCTTCCCCCTCATCTCTGCATCTCCTCAGACTTGTCCAGCTGATGCTGAGAGTGAGGGCTGGCCCCTCAGGTGGGCCCCCATGCGATGCAGCCAGGTCACCCTTATCAGCTTCCGGGTGGCGGGGCTCTCAGGCAGGGTGTGCACCAGCCCCCCAAGACTGGCTGGGGGAAGAGGGGCAGGGTGGGGGACACACCTGAGGAAGGTGAAGCTGCCGTGTGTGCATGGCCAACCCCGGGCCAGTGGAAAGTTACTGAGTGGAGGCACGTGGGCTCTGAGTGGTGGCCAGCGGAGGAGGGCGGGGAGCTCTCCCCTCCTCTTGTGTGGGGGGCAGGGGTCTCCGGTCACCCCTGGAAGGCTTCAGAGATGCTATCTCCAGTCCCCACCCACCCCTCCTACACTCCCACTTGGAGCTTTCAAGAAACATTGCACAAACACTTGGAAGTTTTGTTCCATCTTGGATATTTGTGGAGAAAAGCAGCTAAGAGCCAGGAGGTGGAGCGAGTGCGTGCGTGTGTGTGCGTGTGTGTGTGTGTGTGTGTGTGTGTTTGTATGTGTGTGTGTAAAAGGCAATGGGGCATGGTTGTTCTTGCTCAGCCCCCGCAGGACCCTCTACACAGCCCCGCTGCACAAGAGCTCAGAAAGGCCACAAGTCCAGGGTCACACTGCTGCCTCACAAGGGTCACTGATGCCCCAGAGGCGAGTGGGCAGGGATTGCAGTCCCAGTGCCACCCATCTCCCCCGCTACCACAGTCTGCATTCTGGGGCCTGCAGGGTCCCTGGCCTCACAGCCAGCAGGCCCAGGCTGATAGGTACGTGCTTGTCGCTGTGTGTGACTGTGTTTTTCCTGCCCACACAGCCAGGCTGGAATGGAGAGAGGCAGCACCGGAACACTTCTGAGGGGTCTTCCAGGGGTTCAAGCAAAACCTGGATGCTGACAGCCCCTCTATGGGCTGCGAACTTTCAGCCCTGCAACACACCTGTGACTCTGGCTTCCTCTCCCCAGCCCTGGCCTCAGCTATTCCCACCACCACCACCATGACACACACACACACACACACACACTGCTACCCCCAACTCCCGAAGCCCCTCTCCAACGGGCCCTGCCTTTGCTTGCAAAGTCTCCTTGTTCAAGTCCTCGGGTGGTTTACACCCACTGAGCAAGCACCCAAGGCTGAGTTGCAGAACCCTGCGCCGTGCAAGGGGGGTTCTGAGCAGGCTCCGGCACCGCAGGGCTGTGCAGGGCCAGCGCCCAGCCTCTGCCTTCCACCTCCCCATCTAGGCCGGGACGACGCCCTGGAGCACCTGGACGCGTCTGGGTCGGTGGCAGCAAGGGCGGGGAGTAGGAATGCAGGATTAGAAGAAACCGAAGCTGGGCAGGTGTTGGGGAGGAAGGGCGCCTGAGCGGGAGGGGTGGGGGGCGGAGGACTCACATTTCTACCCAGGGTGGGGCTGTTAAGGGGCAGGTTGGGTTTTCAGAAAACTGGGGGCCTGAGGTCCTGGAAGCTGCTCAGGAGGCGCCAATCTCCAAGCTCCCGCGTGTCCCAGACCCCCGTACGCACGCGGAAACCTCCCCGACCCTGTCGGACGGGACAGGCACCCCCTAACCGGCACAGGCTCCGCGGCCGCGCCCCATTCCGAGCCCCGCGCGCGCCCCTCCGCGGCCGCCCGAGGAAACGCAGGGCCTGGGTGGACGGCAGCGAAAGTCGGGCCCTCGGCTGAGGCGCTGTCCGGAGACCCCCGTGTGCGGTCCGGCTCGGCCCTCCCGAGGCCGCCCCGGGCCGGACTTGGCCCTCGCTCCGAGGACTGCCGTGGCTCTCGGTCGCCGGCCACCTGAGCGCCCCCTGCCCTGCGTGGCTGCCCTGAGCGGCTGAGGCAGAGCCCCAGGCCCCACCATGGGCCATAGCATAGCGCACAGACCCCGACTGCTGTCCCTGTCCCTGGCAGGCCAGGGGTCACGACCGAGTGGAGACAGGAATAAAAGTTGAGCACACCTGCCTCTGGTTTGCAGCTAAAGTGGAGGCTTCCAGGAATGGCTGCCATGCTGCTTGGAGAAGTTTTGTGCCTTACATGTGCTCACATTTAAATCTCTGTGGAAAAAGCTATATATATATATTTTTTTTTTGTCTTTCCAATCAATCCTTGATGGAGACTTTTAGGATCCCGGGTCTGGAAGGATCCCGAAGAGCTGTCTCTGAACAGGGACTCCTCAACTCCCCATCCCTGGCCCTCACACCTGTTCTTTGGACAGATTCTGTTCTTATTTTGTCTTTTCATTGACAGACAGATGGGAGAGAGAGCTCTCCTATCAAATGGTTCACTCCCCCAAAGCCCATGGGACTGAGAACTCAATTCAAACACTGCATCCCCTGGGCCATCCCCTGCTGTGTCCAGCAGGTCTTACCCGGAAGCTAGAGTGAGAAGCAGAGCTGGGGCTCAGACACAGGCACCGGATGTGGGATGCGGGAAGCCCAGGGTCCACGCCAGTTCTTCCTGGCTTTGATCTCAAATCTGTGTCTCTCACAGACTGCCTTGCACCCGGACCAGTCTCCCCAAGGAGCTGCAGCCTAAAAGCTGTGCGACTTCAGCTGCCGGTGCATCCCGGGCTCAGCGCTCACAGTGGAAAGAATGGAGGATTCCCTGCCAGAATGAATACATCTCCTCCTGCGCTTAGAGACAGCTATGCAGCAGAAGATGCAGGAACTCAGCCAACTTCATGCAGGCCTGGGAGTAAGAGAGAAGGACCGCCTGCAGGCTAGCGTTGGAGGCAGTGTGTGGGCAGGGACCTGTCTACACTGGGAGGCAGGGACTATTGTCCTCATCAAAAGAGAGAGAGAGGGGAGCAGCGACAAGAATGAGGGGGCCTGTGGGCAGAGGACGAAGGATCTGGAGTTCTGCACACGCTGTGCACAAAGCAATTCCATGGAAGCATGAGATGTTAGCAGGAGGAGGTGCAGGCCGGACCGGAGGCAGGCCCAGTGGCTGCAGGCTGCATGCGGCGAGAGCCTCCAGGGCACCGGAGCCGCAGGAGGCAGTGCCGAGGTGGAAAAGGTGACAGTCGGAAGAAGGGGACAGGACAGGTGGACAGGAAGGGGTGGGGCTTCACACACACACACACACACACACACACACACACACACACACACCGTCTCCCACCTAGCCTGTCACTTGTTAGTTCCCTGGAGCTGCCCTGTCACATCAGTACAAACTGGTGAGCTTGAACCAGCCGGGCGTTGATTGTGCCACGGCTTCTGGGCTGGCTTCTTCTGGGGGAGCGGTTCCACACGGCTCTCCCGCTGCTGGCAGCGCTGGTCCTCCCGGCTCTACCTCTGCCTTCACAAGGCATTTCCTCTGTGCCCTAAGCCTCCGTCTCCTTCCTCCATGAATGCATTGTGCTGACCCCAGCACATCTTATCTCTTAAGACATCATGTCGCTCTCATTCCTGGGGACAGATCATCAGCATTTGGACACCTCTTTGGGGGGGCACTATCCATCCACTCCCGGCAGCAATGAGACCTCCACGCACCCCTCTTCCCATTCCCAGGCCCCAGCAAGGCTGGAGCAATCCAGAGCTGAGCCAACCAATCCAGCTCCCCTTGCCACCTTTGCCCACCCACAGAGTGCACCCCCACACACTGCACCTCAGCTTACGGTTCCACAGTTCCCCCGTCCAGGGTCTCTACTTTTCTAGAAAAAAAAAAAAAAAAACTCCACAGAAAGGAATGAGCGCCACCCTGGCCTCTCAGCACCTCTGTTCCCCTTCATTAGCTTCTTCACTGCGCAAGAAGCTGACTGCCCTGGGGCTGCCCTGCCTCAGAGGCCCTAAGTGAGCTTCCAGCCAGACACCCAGCTGAGCCCAGCCTTCCAGCCACGCCCACCAAGGCGACAGCCCCTCTGCAAAGCATGCCATCCTGAAGGGGAATCTCTGAGCTCCGCTGCGCCCCCTCCTGGCTGTTCGAGCGTTCCCAGGTTAGGGCAACCCATCTGCGGCCTGTCTGAACCCCTGAGCCACAGACTCCATGAACACAAGTCAAGCGGTCGTGGTTTTAAGTCACCAGCTTGGAAACAGCGTCTTAAACAGCAGCAAGTGGCTGCAACACAATGAGGCAGCTGGGAATGAAGTGCCTAAGACATTCGTGGTGGGCTTGGGGGCCTGGTGATGGGAAACGCCTGTCAGACCGCAATGATCCTGTTTGGGAAGGCTGCGCGGACCCTTCAGGAAAATTGAGAAGACTGGAGAACTGGATGAAAGTGGTGCAGTAGTTAAATCATGTCTCAGTTTGAGGTACCTGGGTTCAATT